GTTACCTCGACCCTTGCCTGTCATCTACATAATATAATACATATTTAGATTGAAACATATAAGAAACTAGCTATAAAACGAGTTATTAAAGAAACCAACTTTTTAAAGCTCATCGACGTATTGTTCCTCGTCCGAGAATTCTTCTTCCTCACTAGTTTGAGCTTCATCAGTTGATTCTTCTTCCTCATTTTCTATAATTCTTACTTTATTTATATCAACTTCTTCCAATATGTGTTCAAGATGTTCCAAATCATTTTCTAAAAGTTCGTCCACTATTTGGTGAACACTGGAGATATCGTTTTGATATGCAACATCTAACACATTCTCGACTTCCACCTTACCTACATGCTTATTTTTTATTACCACCCACCAATCAGACTTATTCTGACGCAATGGATAAGGAGCATAATACACTTGCCTAACATTATGTGCAATTATGAAAGGATCATAGCGATCATACTCCCTCGTATGATTAACCTCAATTATGTTGTATTGATTGTGTACTCTTGTTGGATTTGGGTCAAACCACTTGCATCGAGTATCAATTTCTTAAATAGCCAACATGTATATTCTANATTTAACGCTTCGTTGTACTACTTTAACTACATATATAGCATGTTAGAGTATATTTTAGTGTACTCATCCCTTGTATCACAAAAGTGTTAACGGATTACATTTATATTATTTAGATAGTAAATACAAAAGTGATTTTTAATTTTGACCAATGTTGACCTAGAAAGGACCAACTTTGGTCGCTAATTATCCAGGATTAAACAATAACAACCAACGTTGGTCGCTAATTTTAAATAAGATTTATTAATATTTTATAAAAATATTTTAAATAATAATATAATTATTAAACATTAGAACTGGGTCGCAAAATAGCGATCAAAATTGGTCGCTACTTGCTTCCCCTTTCATAACCGACCAACTTTGGTCGTCAATTTTAAATATTATTTATTTATATTTTATAAAATATTTTAAATAATAATATAATTATTAAAACGTTATAATTGTGTCCCACTTTAGCGACCAAAGTTGGTCGCTAATTTCAATATTTCTTTGACCAAGCAAGTCTGACCAGCACAGTCAATATGTTGACCACTTTACCAACCAAAAAGCAACCAACCTCGGTCGGTAAATTATTTAAAATAATTATTTAATAATTTTCTCCACATTAGCGACCAACGTTGGTCGCTTTTATTGACCAACCAACTTTGGTTAGTAGTGTGAAGGAACTCCTAAAAAATGGAAGGACGCACACTGTGTAGAGACATGTGATGGTCTTCCGAACCATAGCAACAAGCAATGTTTCGGCAATCACACATGAAGGTAAAAAAAAAACTCAGAAACCAGAACCAGCAAAGAAGACTAAATATAGTTTTATGACAAAATGAAAATAGCTGATAAACTAATCACCTGTGCAGTCATCTGCTGTGGTAATGCTGACGATGTCATGCGTGCCTGAAGCAGATTCAAGCCAGGAAAGGAAAACTGCTCTCTCCAAGACACTTCTTACATTGGAACCATCCAATGATTCAGTACGCAAATCCTGAGTAGCTGCTGAAGGGCTAGTGTGGAACAAGGGATTCATTATGTTTTGTTGTCTCTGCTGACAAACAGGAGTTTGCATATGGGCTGTAACTGCAACTGGAGTTCTATTTACATCCCTGGATGCAGATGGAAACCTTCCATATTCATTGCTAATTGAAGAGTTTCCAAATTGGAACTGTTGTAACTGCAGTATATTGGGAGAAGATAGTCCACTCTGAAGTACAGAGGTAGGAATAAGACCATTTCCTTCTGGATTGAGAGCGGGAGATATTGCATCTGTTAAGACAGGTGGTTGCAACAAATTGTTTCTAGCAGGCTCAGAAGCACCGCCAGTCTGCAAACTTGCCAAATATATTCCTGGCCAGAAATCATCCGCCACATAAGAAGCACCTGTTTGAGAGATTTCACTTGGATTAATCACTGCTGTCGTGTTCTGTACATTGATTGATGCAAGATTTTCACTGTCTTCAGTTCCAGCAGTTGTCATTGGATTCATTTCATCATCTATCTCAGTAAGATCTAGAACATCACTGTGGACATTTGAAAGCCCATCAGAACCTCGCTGTGGACTATCTTGAGCAAAGTCAGGGGTTTATCCTTGGGCTTCTCAGTATGGTCATCACTTTCCATAATCGCTTTCCATGAACCATCTGAGGATATCATGACATCTATGACATCATCACCCACCTCTTTCAAAACCTTTAAAAGAAAAAGAATATTACTTCTAGACAGGTAATTTGTGTAAAGCATAATACAGCATTCCACTTGCCTTGAACATATCTTGATCAATACGAATATCAGTGAAACACACATGCTGATTACAATGAGGACAACGCCATGATGGTCTCCTTGAATTTATGTCGACATAGTTTTCAAAGTCAAAACACTGCCAAGAAAAACACACAGTGCAAACACATAGTAAGAGCAGGTGAAATGGTGAAGAAATAATGACTAAAATAACATATCACATATGGTCCGCATAATCTGCGCCCCTGAGGTTTCTTGCTAGGATTTTCATAATTCAAACATCTGTCAATGCTAATACGAATCTATAATCTTCCTGAACATTTACCGAGGAATCCATAATCAGCCACATCCATAATTCTAACAGATTAAAGACCTTAAATAAAAGTAATGACAGACGAAAAGTAGAGGCAAGTTTCAAACATGCATGCCAGCTATAAAATACTCTAGCATAAGAGATCGGATAATAATTTATTTTTAATTACACAAAAGGGCATGCACCTGAAGATATTTGCAAGAATGTCCTTTCACTGGAATTTTAATACGTCTGAAGCTGTAAAAGCGAAGAAAGAGTAATCAGTAAATTTAACACACTGCAGCCAGCATCAGAAGAAGTTGAAAGGAAACGAAAAAAGCGCATCTTTTGGGGCAAGGGCTAGTAAAAGAGGTAAATACACTTGGAGTCCCCAAGGTTAATTACAACTACAATGGGTCTCTGTTTCGAATTCTAGGCTCTTAACCAAGTAATCCTTATTCATTTAGAAAGTCTAGAGTTCAGATGAATGGACACAATCGTCCTGAAACCTAAAACCTTAAGGTATATATACTAAAGTAACTCTGATCAAAATTTCACACAATTAAGATGATTCTATCTTTCTACATGACAGCTGACGTTTTATCTTTGATATGTTGTGATCAAAATAGGTTTAAAAAACATAACATAGCCCATCAACTTACTAGAATGGCAGAATAAGGTCCAGTAGGTTCCGTATTCTTCTTTACTTTCTTTTTGGACACTTTTTCTGATGATAATTGAATGGTACTGTATGTCACTCGTGAGAAAAATTTGATGACCTTGTTGGATACCAGAGTCAAATGTGCTATAGATGATCCTCACGTGCCCATCTTCTCAGATAATTTTCTGATTTAAGTTCTTTTTCCTTGTTTCAGTTGGCATTGACAGCTTTGCCTAGGGCTGATACAGTGCATGGCATATTCGAGGCGTGCGGGACATCTTAGAAACACAACTTAGGTCATCAACTTACTAAAATAGCAGACTCCTTCCTCCTGTCATTTTGAGTTTTGGGATAATGAGGGGGAGGAAAGAAACATAAATGGGAGCACAGAAATTTGTGTCTTTTACTAAGACGATAAAAAAAAATGAAGCTAATCATGCATATCAACTTCTTTTATTAATCATCATTAAATAGAAAAGGACAGAGGGGAAAAGAAAAAGTTTCACACAGTTCAAGATAATGCCATTTCATATACACAGCCTTATCAATTTCCGAAGTACCAAAGATTAGAAGCATACCTTATGGGGCAATTCAGAGAAATTCTTGATGGCCCCTCAATAATCTCAGAATCTACATAAACAAAGTAGTATATTAATCATATCTCCTTATAAGGATTTCTATTCAGACTTTCAGTTGGGGGATGATGGGAATGGTGAACTTCAACAATACATCTAGTCAAGTTGGCTAACAAGAACATGTAACAAAGTCAGTGTAGAAACGCCAAAAACTGACAAAAAGATCTCAGCAGTAATTTTCTTCCTGTGAATAATACAATAAGAGAAACCTGGATCAACAGAAGAAACAGGAGGCTGCTCATAATCAGGGAGCGTGGCCTCGACAGGGGTAGAGATCTCACGCATGAAGGCGACAGCTATGACATAATTTCCTTCACAATGAACACAAAGAAGAGTTAGTACTATACAGTTTTTTTTTTTAAATCCGGAACGTATTTTCAAACATACCATTAAATTGGCCCACAGCTTGAAGAAGATTCGTTCCAAATTTAAGCATTTGAGATACAGGAGTTGGAAGCTGAGGTCCAGGGTCCTACCAAAACAAACATATAAGTAAGTCGAGCCCCAATAAGACATAAGACATCCCTATACAAACACATCTCCAAAGTTTTAGCAGTAACAAACCATTAACTCAATATTCCTCTTTCCCACTGCCGTCCCATTTAGGAGAAAGCTGCACAAGTGAAATGAACGGCAATCAGAATTGTCAGAGGGATTAACCTGTCAAATATGAAGTCAGTAAGCGGACATCATTTCACTCAGTAAAAGCTAAAAGATTTTCATACTTCACTTGAGGAGGCGTTACAAGACATAGTGAGGTCTGCAGATAAAAGGAAACATAAAAATGAGCCATATTTTCCTGAGCTAATCAAGGTTTCTGTTAGATATAGATATGTAGTTGTCCCACATTAGAATAGGTGTAGTATGCCCTTTGTATAGAATAGCTATAAATTAGCCCATCTTGTATAGCATTAGACACACAATATCAATATATCATATTTTCTCCCGTGCCTTCTCACATGTATCAGAGCAATCGTGAGAGATTTATCGTTATGCATAAATTCCAGCTACTCCGGGAAGGAAAATCAGTTGACCGGAAGCCTTTTTCGGGCAGGTCTGCCGCAAGTAAAAAAAGCCACTTTTCGGTCAATGTTGTGCAAAAACCAACACCACCACGAAGTAGATCGGGCTCCGGCAACCAACCCATAAAAAAATCTCCGTTAGAATACCCTCCACACACCGCCACTTGCCACCGGAAGAAAATTTTCCGTCGAAGTTCCGACGTCGCGTGGGCCACCTTCCGGCCATTTTTTGGCGACGGCTCTTCAGGACAAATTGTTCACCTTGCAATTATGAGCCTACCCATCCAGGTCACACCAAATTCTAACAACTTTTATATTTTTCCGGCGTGAATAGTGATTTCAAAAGTGGACTTCCGGCCATTTTTTGAAAACGTTTCTTCAGAACAATTGGGTCATCTGGTAATTCCGATCCTACCCCAACTGTTTTTATTTCATTCCAACCACTTTGAATTTTCCCGGCAGCTACAGTACTATTCCGACAGCTACAGTATTTTCTTATTCCATTGTTCCTTACTCTGTTTCAGTGGATTACATTTGATTATTTCTCTAATTTGGTAATAATTTGCAACGATGTCTTTGGGAATTGATGCTTTTGGGTCTAAAAACATGAGTTCTGGAAGCTCTAGTGTTATGATTACTTCGGAACCTTTAATGGGAGGTTCAAACTACTTAGTTTGGGCTTCATCTGTCGAGTTCTGGTATAAAGGTCAAGGTGTTCAAGATCATCTAATTAAACAGTCTAGCGAAGGAGATGAAAAGGCGATAGCGCTTTGGGCAAAGATTGATGCTCAATTATGTAGCATCTTGTGGTGTTCTATTGATTCCGAGTTGATGCCTTGTTTCGTCCATTCGAGACATGTTATTTGGTTTGGGCAAAGGCTCGTACCTTATACACTAATGACATATCTCGCTTCTATGATGTGATATCACGGATGACAAACTTAAAGAAGCAAGAATTAGATATGTCTACTTACTTGGGTCAAGTACAAGCAGTCATGGAGGAATTTGAGACATTAATGCTAGTTTCTGCTAGTGTGGCAAAACAACAAGAGCAGCGACAAAAGATATTTCTAGTTCTTACACTCGTTGGACTTCCTAATGATCTTAATTCAGTGCGAGACCAGATTTTGGCTAGTCCAACTGTTCCTACAGTTTATGAATTATTCTCTCGATTACTCTGCCTTGCTGCAGCACCAAGTCACCTAGTGATCTCATCACAAATACTTGATTCCTCTATTCTCGCATCGCAGACAGTAGATGTTCGGACGTCTCAACTATGGAGAACAGAGGAGGACGAGGTCGTTTTGGGAGATCTAGACCCAAGTGTTCTTATTGTCACAAACTTGGACACACTCGTGAAATGTGCTATTCCTTACATGGTCGTCCACCCAAAAATGCTTACGTTGCTCAGACCGAGACTACAGGGAACCAAGGTTTTTCTGTATCTAAAGAAGAATATAATGAGCTCCTTCAGTATCAAGCAAGTAAGCAGACATCTCCACAAGTAGCCTCAATTGCCCAGACTGATACTCCTGTTGCTGGTAATTCTTTCGGTTGTGTTTCCCAGTCTAGTACTCTTGGACCATGGGTCATGGACTCAGGCACTTCTGATCACATCTCTGGTAATAAATCACTTTTGTCGAATATTGTATATTCACAGTGAGAAGACTTCTCACTGTTACTTTAGCCAATGAATGTCAAACTAAAGCACAAGGAGTTGGACAAGCTAACTCATTGTCTTCTATTACCCTAGATTCCGTTCTTTATGTCTCAGGTTGTCCTTTTAGTCTTGCATCTGTTAGTCGTTTGACTCGTGCCCTCCATTGTGGTATATATTTTACTGATGATTCTTTTATTATGCAGGACCGCAGTACGGGACAGACAATTGGTACAGGACGTGAATCATAAGGCCTTTACTACCTTAATTCACTCAGTCCTTCCACAACATGTCTAGTTACCGATCCTCTGGACCTAATCCACTATCGTTTAGGACATCCAAGTTTATCCAAACTTCAGAAGATGGTGCCTAGTTTATCCAGTTTGTCTACGTTAGATTGTGAATCGTGTCAGCTTGGGAAACATACCCGAGCTTCTTTTCCGCGTAGTGTTGAGAGTCATGCAGAGTCTGTTTTCTCCTTGGTTCATTATGATATATGGGATCCAAGTAGAGTTAGTTCAACCTTGGGATTTCGTTATTTTGTTAGTTTCATTGATGATTACTCAAGATGTACTTGGCTTTTCTTAATGAAAGATCGTTCTGAGTTATTCTCTATATTCCAGAGTATTTGTGCTGAAATAAAAAATCAATTTAGTGTCCTGGAAAAGCAAGAAACAGAATGTAGTTGTTCGGTCTAGTGCAGAAGCAAAATATCGAGCAATGGCTATGGCAACATGTGAACTAGTCTGGACTAAACAATTGCTCAAGGAGTTGAAATTTAGTGAAATCAGTCAGATGGAACATGTGTGTGATAATCAAGTTGCCCTTCATATTGCATCAAATTTGGTGTTTCATGAGAGAACTAAACACATTGAGATTGATTGTCACTTCGTAAGAGAAAAGATACTTTCAGGAGATATTACTACGAAGTTTGTGAAGTCGAATGATCAACTTGCAGATATTTTCACCAAGTCCCTCACCGGTCCTCGCATTTGTTATATATGTAACAAGCTCGGTACATATGATTTGTATGCTCCGACTTGAGGGGGAGTGTTAGATATAGATATGTAGTTGTTCCACATTGGAATAGGTGTAGTATGCCCTTTGTATAGAGTAGCTATAAATTAGCCCATCTTGTATTGCATTAGACACACAATATCAATATATCATATTTTCTCTCGTGCCTTCTCACAGTTTCCAACTTTGACGGGTTGCTAGAACGAAAAATAAGAAGTCAAGAGCAATGAACTGATGAATAACAAAATACAGGTAATGAAAGCACACATAATGTCCTCAATCAATACTGAGACTGTCACGTCCCAAACTACCCCCAAGACGTGACTGGCACCCAACTAATACCACCCGCCAGGCGACCCATACTTTCTTACCTTAGCCATTAATTTACAGTATTTGATTAATCATAAGAGTATCAAAATAATCTGTCAACTAAATACACACAATTTATATCTCGAAATATTATACTGAAATTCTTGCCCAAATCCCATACCAACCATGGAGCATCTAAGGGAATTGAAAAAGACCTCATATGAATAAATGATAAAGACTCATTGAGCAGCCCCCACGAACAATGCGGCGGCTCACCTCAATAACTGAATCAACTATAGTGAACTTGTCGGCTACTAGCTTCACTTTCACCAATAGTATCTGCATAGACAAGCATGTAAGGAGTGAGTTATACGCAAATATAACCCAGTAAGATCCTCGACCCGCAACTCTGAATACCTCTGGAACAAGTGCTAGAAAATACAAACACATAACAAGCACACAAATAATACGCAAAGAAATTCTTTTATCATATAATTACTCTATAAGGTCCAAACAATAATTTAACAACAATACTATATATATCTCAACACAATCTACATGAAGGACTTGTCGTTAACGACAGTGCAGGAAATTAAGCAAACACTCCAACGAGTCCACGGCAGCATACACAATGCCCCAAATCTATCATAGCGGCATACACAATACCTCAAATATATAGCGGCAGCATACACAATGCCCCAAATCTATCATAGCGGCATACACAATACCTCAAATATATAGCGGCAGCATACACAATGCCCCAAATCTATCACGGCAGTAAACACAATGCCCCAAATATATAGCGGCAGCATACACAATGCCCCAAATCTATCACGGCAGCATACACAATGCCCCAAATCTATCACGGCAGCATACACAATGCCCCAAATCTATCACTGCGGCATACACAATGTCCCAAATCTATCACGACAGCATACACAATGCCCCAAATCTATCACGGCGGCATACTCAATGCCCAAAATATATAGCGGCGGCATACACAATGCCCCAAATCTATCATGGCGCACAGCTGTATCAAACTCAACATCATGGCGCACAGCCGTATCAAACTCAACATCATGGCACACATCCGTATCAAACTATCAAACTATCAAACTATCAAACAACTTATAAAATAATTTTTTTTCATAAAATAATATATTTGCGGCTAGTCTAAGACCACCGACTCTGCCAAGCGCACCCTTGTCCCAACACATGGACCAGACAAAGAAAATACATTTGTAAAACGGGTTTTACAAAAGCAAGTATCAAAGCTTAAAATCTCACTTACCTCCCTAACGACAAGCTCTCTATTCTTGTAACATCCAAATACCAACCAAACAGGCTCCAATGGTATCAATCTAAGCAAAATATTAATTAACATTGTCAATTATGCTAGCCGAGGTCAAACCTCAATTACCTAAATTTCAATTTTAGACCTCAAATACGATGCTTTAAAAAGGTAAAAACATGTCCCAATATCTCCATCCAAACGAAACATTGAATTATAATCCCTATAACTTATTATCTATATTCCATCCAATAATAATATTCCTAAAGAAAAATTAAAGTATCTCCAATCCAGTATCATATGGAGGGTCACGAAATTTCCCACGTCCCCCCTACTTTCATCAAACATGCAAGACAGCTTAAGGCAATTAATTGATATTGTTTCTTCTTCTCAAGTTCAAAATAGTTTCAACTATATCACATTAGAATAGAGCATATTGATATTGCTATGGCGATAACAACACCTGACCCTCCCTTAGCCATCAGATATTCTAAGATATTAAAGTTCGAATAGACTTTTTAATAGGCCAACTCTCAGTTTACACACTTTATTATGCCATTATTATGCTAGATAAAATAATTCAAAGTGCATATTAAAGTAACGATTCATACCTGAACCTTATAAAATTGTAAAAGATTTTCATGGTAGTAAGTAGTTACTGTCTCTGGCGCCGTCAATACTCCTGATGCTCTTCATCTAGTTTTTTCACGTTTATAAACCAAGAAAATTATATTCCTTATTCTAATACCCTAATGTTCTCATATAATGTGGGCAGGGATGGCTTGGCCCAATTCCTTAATTTTTATTAATTTAGGCCCATAATTATCCAACTATTATATGTAATATGAATTATCTCACTAGCAAATTAACTAGTATACTATCTCATATATATTATAATAAATGTTTCTTCCACTAGCTTAGTATTTTGACTATAGATACACACTAAATTAATTTTTTTTTCAATCCCACAATTAATAAATATAAAAAATATTTTAGGTTATTACAGAGACTCGTGTACTTGCTGCAAAGGGTTACATAGATGTAATTTATGATAATATGCAGAAGTTTTCTTACTGCTTTCTCTCCTTTAGAAAGGTTTGTATTCTTCGTTATTTGGAAATCATTCACGAAGCACCAAATCCAGGCTACAAGATTGACAAAAAATATGGCATCAGTATCACCAGCAATACAGTTACACTAGCTCACTGGCCACCCGTAAGGGGCTGTGTTTTAAGTTACTACCTTGGCTTCGAGGAAACAAATTATCTGACCCATTTTCAGTCGTGGATAAAATCTGCAAATTTGCACACAAGCAAATGACTGAAATGTAGTTAAGCACATATTCCAAGGAAAAAATTGAACTAACCAAGTAGACTCAACTATGGAAAAACTAACCTCTAACCGAACAGTGGAAGAAAGCCATGAGATATACATGTCACAGCACCAAATAACAGCTAGCAGCAAATGCTGAATATGAGTAAATTATAACTTAGTGGCCATAACATCAGACAATTCCTGAAATTCATACAGAAATATAGGACCCAGCATTTTGTATTAATTTAACTATTTATTGAGTATCACTTTGACCACTCAATCATCGTACCGATCTCTCCACTTTGACTCCTCTGTAGTTATTCAAATAAGTAAACTGATAATGTAGCCAGCATAGGTACATCAAAGATATTCTCTACCATCATCGAGGACCTCAACAGAGACAGAAATCAAAAACTAAGGGCTATACCATAAACGGCACATGACATTTTGTATTAGTAGAATGAGTTTTTGAATTAGCATACTCTTTTTAGCTGCTTGTTAATATTATAAAATTACTTTAAGCACCTTTAGGTCTCTCCTCTTTTTCTATTTTCCTACCCTTCTGAGATGGATATATTGTCAGAACTAATTCCATAGAATTTCTTAAGTCCTGTTTAAAGCCCAATCATTCTAATTCATTACAAGGTCAGCTAGCTAATAGGATATTTGACATAAGTAGGGAGCCTTATCACCTCTCTCCTATGCAGTTTGGTACCATAACAGCAACTACAGTATTTTAACACCCAAGGTGAGGTTGGAGATTTTGTCCAAACAGTAAAAGATCAGTGGGCAAATAAATGAAGAAGGAACCAAGTTCATCATAGTTAAGAAAAAAGAAACAAAATTTTGATAAAGGATATAAGAAATAAGGTTATGTAAGAGAGTTGCTGAAAGTGAAAACAATCTACAATTTTCATGAAGTACCTCATAACCAAAATTTTCCCTTTAGTAACAATAACTCATCCATGATCAAAAAGGAAATGGGATTCCCTTCCTCTTTTTTTTAAGTGGCATGTAATTCAAACAAACTAAACTCCAAGACCTCTTCCTGGCTCAGGAACAAAATGATTCGAAAAAAGGAAATAGAAACCTTTTTTTTTATAAGGGAGGAAATAGAAATAATCAACCAACATAAAACACTATGTTCCCTGCATCTTTAGGATAATCCCTCTTACATGAACTTTTAAGTTAGAGAAGTGTAGCATAAAAATACAACCTCTATGGTCAAGCTTCAAATGCGACCTTTTTCTTCTAAAGGAAGATTGGGATTTTCCTTATCAAAAAAAAAAAAAAAAAAAAAAAAAGCAAGATTGGGATTTGTTACTTTCACATGTTAGGCATTAGCCTTCGGCGTTGCAATATCACTTAAAAGAATTGACAAAATGGTAATGTGAGTAGCAGTAATAATCAACAGAAAAGAAATGGAAGATATACAAGATTCTTCGACCATAAGAATTTATAACACCAGCACAATTAAACCCCCGAGTAAAACCACAAATATTCTTATGAAAATTAACCTTTGATATACAAGGCAAATTATTCATGTGAGGTAAATTGACCAAAGCATAAAAAAGATTAATAAATTCAGATGTCATTCAAGGATAAGAATTTTTACATACAAATTTTTACTTCACGTCGAAAGTTATGGGTTTAGTTGAACCCGCTGAGAAAACACTAGATCCGCCTCTATAATAGCGCTTGGGCCACCACATATAAGCTTCTATCCCTCCTCTATCATTTCTCAATTTGGAATTTTGGACCCATTCCCAATATATGTAAGTAATTTGTTTTCTATGACACATTAATATTCTCTAAAATAGAGGTTCTCTGCACCTAAACTCATCCCTAAATAAACTTAAGGCTTAATCCAAGAAAAAAACAAATAAATCTTAATCCCATAGGTTAGTGTGGCATATATGGATCCTTTTAACTCCACTGTATTCTATTTTTAGCTATATCCAAATTAAAACCACAGAGATAGCAGCTTGAACCAAATTGATGACTTTGGACCAAATGGAGAAAGAAGATGGGGATAACAGAACGGAGATTCCCTTTGGTTAGTTGGAGGAAATTGCCACCGCAGAAGAATTTCGTGGAGACAAAAGTCAAAGGTTCTGTAGCTTCATAATGGACATAAAAATACGAGTTTCTTTCATAAGATGATGAATGCTCACAAAAGGTACTACAACATAGATAAGATGGACATTAAAGGAGAACTGGTTGATAATCACGCTAGGGTTGAAAATCATATAATGGATGTTTATGGAAATTTGTTTAAGGAGGAGGAATTGAGGAGACCTGATTGGTGTGATAAAAATCTGGTCACGCTGGTATGAAAGAGAATGGCTCCAGAGCCCCTCTGCTGAGGAAGAAGTGCTTAAAGTCACTAAAGGTGTTGACGATAAAGCACCCAGGCAGGATGGAATTACTATAGAACTACTAATTCATCAGCTAATATATTCCCCAGAAATCGAAAACTAAGTGATAAAAGTTTTGTGAAATCTTCTAAACCCCTTTCCAAACTATACAAGCTTCTTCCAAAGCATACGGCATTCTGGATGTAGATGATAATACATACACAGATAGATCTTATATATATCGTAGAATGAAGTACCACATGGTGGATATATGTATATACACAAATCTGCCGAATCACTCATGTTATGATCTTCTACATCGTGGGTTTTCCCATTCCACCACTGGCTTACGTTCTTAGCCATTTTCCAAAAATGATGGTGCATCTTGAAGAATGATATTATGGATACATTCGAACATTTCTTCTTGAGAGGATGCACGGAGAAAAGCTCTTACGCAACATTTATTGCACCCGTACCTAAGAAGCTGGATGCAAAGGATGTTAGATATTTTAGGCCAACTTGTTTAGCGGGAAGCATTTATGAAATCCTCTCAAAATGTATAATGTGGAGGATTTTGCTTGAAAGGAACCAAAGATGCTTTTATGGAAAGAAGAAAACACCAATTTAGTTACCAGCAGTATTCAATATCTAAAAAGGTGACCTATGCTGTTTATAAAAACGATTACAATGTAAGTTTAGACATTCTGGACTCGACATAGGATTCTCTGCTTTGTAATGGTTGTTCACATTCAGTACTAGCTTGGTACTGAATGTTACCAGTAAAATTTCCCTGTAACACACATCTTTCAACTTTATCACATAAAAGTTGACTAGTTTCCAAATTTACCTGGACAGAAATCATAAGGACCATGACATGTGCTAGCATTGAGGAATCACAATGGCATTTGCATATCTACATCATGAGATGAATTTAGCAAAAGAAGAACTTAAACTTCGGTTATTTATCTGATAAATAGGTGAACTGTTACAGATAGGAAACTATGGCCTAAATAAGAAAATTTGCACACTTGGGATTGAAGAGTACATAATCTTTGCAACCTGGATTTTACAGATCACATGGTTTGCAATCAGTCAACGGATTGCAGCAATTCGCAGCTCAATCAGAACAACATCAATAGATTTAGAGCAAAAACATGATTGGAAGGACGATACTGCATGTAAATTAACTTTCTCAAACGAACTTACAGGTCTTCTATAGTAGATGAAAAACAATGTGACTGAAAATACAATGTGATTAACAAAAGAGCAATATACAAGTCTTTTATAGTTCTGTAGTAAATGAAAACATTGTGATTAACAAAAGAGAAGCATAATTTGGGGTACCAACACCGAAAACACAAGAGGGTTTCATAATATATTAGGATATAACCAAAATGGCACACCAGAGCCAGCAAATATGAAGGTGTTTTCAAGAACCAAATTTTTTTTTATCTCTAACTCCTATGGGATAAAGATGTCACACCATCATCGACAAGACATCAGTAAGGAAATAAAATATTTACAATATAAAAAATCACAAAAAAAGAAGATAATATAGCATAGCAAGTAACCATATTCATCATCATCACCAAACATCAACCTATAAAGTACTGCGCAGCATCACAAATACATCCATCCCCCTTGGTCAGAACTCGGGTGTTTTACAGATAAGAAGACTGGTTTCATTCAGGTCATAATCTGACAACCATTGAACTCACTTCACTTTTTGTGTTAACTATTCTATTTTGTGCACCATCAGCAGAATTAAAAAAGACATCACTTAAAGAATACCCAACCAACTAATCTTTAAACCCGAGTTTAACATTATAAGAAGGTTGCACAATGCTTTTTGGATCCAAGAGTACTAGAGTGATGATAGCATTGGAAGGTCTAATTCTCAACCCCCCCC